GTGACTTAAAAACGAGTGAGCACCGGCTGGCTGCTTTGTGTTTTGTTTTCACTGCTCCCTGTTCAAACAAAACAAAAAACTGGTCTGTCGAATATCTGCAGTTTGCTCAGTGCGTATTCCTCCAGAGTCTCCCTGAGCTTGATTGTGAATTAAGTCATCTGTTCATTTTCCTGATCTAATTTGCTATCATCTTGGAGGACATTCCTGACCTCATTCGAGCTGCTTCTAAACTGTGATTATGGGCTCTTATGCATGGATGACACCAGTTTTATGTGTGAAGTGCCACCCCAGTTTGTAGTTGTAATCATAGCAGAGAGTACTTCAGTAAATACGAGAATATATTTTAACTGTGTAGGCAGGTTGGCTTGGATTTGCCATCAGGGAATGTATGGTGGGCTTGATAGGCCCAGATGTTTCCAGAGAAAAGAAACAAATGCTAATTACTCAGCATATCTCCAGGCATCGCACATAGAAACACAAGTCACAAGCATCTAATATCCTCTCAGATGCGTCTCCTAGCAGGAAGACTGCCTTTCCTTTTATCCCCCTAAACTCTCCTCACGTGTTTTTTCCTATCATGTAATTTATTTTTGCATAGCTGTGAGTCACAAAGTATTTACAGGACAGCGAATTTCTCAATTTATTATAATTTCACTAACATCTGTTGCCCTACATACGCAAAATAATTTACCTGGATTTTTTTTTCTTGTTACAGCCCAGAATATTATCTAGTACAGAAACCCAGAATATTGCCAAATAGCACACTGTACATTATACCATTATGGAATAGAACTGTTGGATTTCTCAACACGCCCCTATATTTTGAATAAAATCATTTGATTTAAATAAAATGTTAAATTTAGATTTTTCACTCGTTTAATTTCGGTGCAGAGCTCAATGCTAAAGCTTCACTTCCTGCTTATGAGTCTACAAGCTCATCTGTTTGTGTGGTTAATGCTTATGATACATTACTTTGAGTGAAGCTGACAGATCTAGGAGGGCCTGTAAGCTGTTGTATTTTGACTCAGCACACAGTCCGGCTCTCAAGAGACCACAGGCTCTTTGTTCCATTTTCTCTACAACAATTCAGGGCACAGTTAAGGAGGTGCAATTTTCTGATTTACTTAAGCACATGTGGTTAGAGGTGAGAGGCTGCAGAACTTGCAGAGGACGGTGTCTGTGGCCCAGGTGATTTGTCACTAGATGAGGTTCATTTGGGCAGGCAGCGGATAGCTGGGAAACGGCTGATGTGGAACAGAGTCATGAATCAGGCACAGACACAGCATAGTTGTGGTAATAATGGTAATAATGCTTATGGAACCAATGCTTGAGATATTGATTTTATTATTAAGCACAATGGATTTCAGAATCTGTCCTCTTTCTTATTTAAAAAAGAGTCATGGACACGGATAGAGGAAGGGGAGAGGGAAAAATAGGAAGAAGTGCTGTTGATGTGCATTAAGTTAATTTAATTCATTATACAACATAATTACATAAACATGTTAATTTAGTGTTTATATGGAACCAGTTTGAACTTATTTCACACCACCAAGGCCATATGTGAGTTTTGAAAACCCACTCTTAAAGACCAGCTTATCCAAAATGTAAGCTGGTTGACCTAATTTCTGGTGTTAGCAGCACAAGCTGATATGGATAAAAAGAGATTACAGTGCACACATACCTACATATTACATTTATATGTGAACGGCTTTTAATAAACACTTCAAGCCCTGAAAAAGTCATTCAGTGTAATTATTTGAGGGTTAACTGAAACATTAATCTTAATGAGAACATAAAATGTAGACTTTTAAAACTGTAATTAAGGGTAAAAAATAGAGCAGTGAAAAATCCAGGTAACATCTGGAAGACTCTTGCTACAGATATTAGGTAAACAGTGTTGTAAGAAGGCCATGTGAAAGGATTGCAGTCTGCAGGCTACTCCAGTATTCCTTCTACAGTCCAATGACATGCATGTTATGTGAATCGGTGACTTTAAACTGCCTGTAGGTGTGAAAGTGGGTGTGAATGTGTTTGTCCGTCTGTATGTATTAGCTCTGTGACAGACTGGCAACACGCTGCACCTCACCTCTCACCCAGCGTGTTCTGGGATAGACTCCAGCAAAGCATGTTCTTGAACAAGATGAGTTAAGACAATGGGTTGGTGATTATACGAGATTAGCATTACGTACGACAAATGAATGAAAAAAAACATAATATATATTGTACACTATCGGCCACCAAATCTGTTAAAAGGTAGTACGATCAGTCCAATTCAGAAACTGCTATTTTTACAAGTTGATTTAACTCAAATTCGATTACATTTTCAAGAGATATTAACTCAAAATCTATCACTGTATTTGAGGTCATAACTTCAACAAGGAAAACTTTAGTAAAAGAAAAGATTACGATCATGATTGATTCTGAAATAATCAAACGTAAGCACAGGAATATTGTTAAAGACATTCATCAAAATAAAAGCAGGCAGTTATGCTTGTTTAATGCATATGCAGATTATACTTTATGTAGAAACCCCAAACAGCTTTTCCTTACAAATATAACCACAAATGTGTTTTTTGCATTTTATCAGACTGCAAGCTTTAGCCATGCTTTAACATATTTCAAATGAAAGTTTGCTACAATTGCTGCTCTGCACTGCAAACTCTGTCTGTCTTAGCAAGAGTAAGGGGGAATGCCTGCATCAGAATTCTGTGGTCATGACAGGGCATAACTTAAGTTTTTAGAAAACTATCTGGCAGAAATTCAAAGTCTAGTCTTGTCCTCTACTTCAGAGCTTACTGTCATACCTTCCTTAGTTTTAAAATAACAAGTGGCATTGAGAGGAATTTGGTAAAGCTTTTATTTTGACTGAGAGTTTGGTATTTTTATTTTAAATGGGCCTGTGTGACATGCTGATGATGAGTAGTGAGTTTTTCTACGTTTGCAGAACCAGGAACAAAAAAACTATTCTGGGTTTATAGAAAATGTTTTGCCGTCTAAATCAACCTGAACTTAAACAGTTTCTTGTCTGTTTGGCTGAGAGGTGTAAAATAGATTTAATCGGTTAAGGACTGATCATTGATCTCTGTACGCTCTCGAATAGTGGTTCATAATGCTTTGCTGCCGGTTGGGAGCAGTCTCATAAATATGCAGAATAATTTCACCTGTGGCCCGCTTTAGTTGCATTGGTGTTGTGTCATTAACTGTGCTCTGCATTGCGGGTAAGAATAATCTAAGATCCACTTCTTGATGGAGTTACGTAATAGATATTGTCCAGGGCAGCTGTTGTTTGAGCTTTTAAACACTATTCTTTACTATTTATGGTATCTTTTAGTTAATCTTCCATCCCCCAAAGTGCCTTTTTTAGCTCCTTTTGCATACAATAATGCGAATACTCACTATTCAGCATTAGTTATCTCTGTTATTGTTGGAACTTTTTCATTTTCTATTTCATTGACATTCATTCTGTAGATTAGGTGATGTCAAAGGAGAGACATGCTCAAATGCTTTATGCCATACATAGGCAGACACAGCATGTCAAGTGAGGTCAAAGGCTGATGCAACATCAACTTATTGTACTCCATCAGCCTCTGACATTATGTGTTTATATATGTGTTTCCTCATGAATATTTGAAGGCTGTGTTGCAAGGCTGTGTTCTTGGAATATCTTTACAACAAGAAGTTAAATGAAGTAATTTCATACTCCAGCTATTCCTCAAAAATGTGTCATTATTATCATTCCATTTAAGATGAACCCCAAGCTTCCATAAGTGGCTCTGAAATTACCCACATGAATTTCCTGTGGAATTTTAATAGAAACATTTCATTCTGATCAAGCGTCAACTAACAGCAATACATAATTTGTGGACCACTCGGACAAGTGTCACCTCTAACCCAGTAACATCGGCTACATGTAGGAAACTCAGAAATGGGAACCGATCCTACTGCAGGCAGACAGTTTGTGCCGTTCAGGGGAAGTTACGAGTTTCTACAGTACATGTCAAACTAGCAGATATTCTGGGTTTGCAATAGATGGAATAGTTTACACGGGGATCCATCCAGGGGGGGAAATTCAGAAGTGTCTGGGAGAAAACACTGTCTGACATCTGTGCGGTGCGTAACCATGGGCAGCCTCTTCAGTGAGCCTCTTGTACAGTAGCTATTGGAGGAGGAGCTCACCATTGTACGAGCTTTATGACAGAACAAGCCAGGCATCCGTCCTCTGGTGACAGCTTCCAAATCCAGGGAGGTTCAGAAGGCACAGAATTTAGATTTACTGGCAACCTCACAATCTTCAGCTATGTCAGAAAAAAGGAATGGCTGTGGTGCTCCACTGCACATTGCATCACAGAAGAATAGTACAAACAGAGAAGCCATGACATACTACGACAAGGCCAAAGGAGGGTTAGACACCACGGACCAGATGGTTAGCTCTGACACCTGCAAGCCTCAAATGCAGAAGTGGCCTGTGATGCTGATGTCCTTGACTTTGCCACCCTGAGCGTGTGCACCTTTTTTACAGTTCAGCACCCTGAATCTAAGAGTAGCACTGATTTTTGATGGCAACATCATGGTTTACAAATCATGTTTCACACATACGGGTACCCAAAGCTACACACAAATAGGTTTACACAATTTACAAATCCAGTATTATGAATGCACAGATATACTGAGTTGATTGAGGTATTCTTATTTTTCTTATTGAACTCATTATAATATCATTATAATGATCACAGCCAACATATCAAAACATCAGAGACAAGGAAAATACGCACACTATTCTTTGGATTTTGGACTGGACAACTGAGCTTGTGGGACAGGTCACCTTAAGTGGGCTAGGGGACCCTGGACAAATGGATATAGACAGATGTTAACCTTTTCTTTTTTCCCACCTATCAATGATTTGAGGGTTTGCTTATTTTTGAGTTGGCTTTAAGCATCCTCTCTTCTGTTGTTATGTACTCTGATCCTGTTTAATCTTCTTCTCTATCTCTTGGCCTTTCCTTGCCTTCCTGCTGCCCTCACCCTCTACGCCCCTCTCCCTCCCTGCCATCCCGATACAATTCTCCTCTCCAGCTGGGTTCGTGAAGTCGCCACTGTCTGAGACTAAGCTGACGGGGGACACCTTCGAGCTGTACTGCGAGGTGGTGGGCAACCCCGTTCCAGAGATCCAGTGGTGGTATGCCGAGATCAATCGAGCCGACTCCTTCAAGCAGCTGTGGGACGGAGCCCGCAAGCGCCGAGTATCCATCAACACGGCCTACGGCACCAATGGAGTCAGCGTGCTCGGCATCACACGCCTTACACTGGAGGACTCTGGGACCTATGAGTGCCGGGCCAGCAACGACCCCAGGCGCAACGACCTCCGACAAAACCCTGCCATCACCTGGATCCGTGCCCAGGCCACCATTTCAGTGCTGCAGAGTGAGTGGTCTATGTCTGTAGTACCTAGATGATGAACAAACCTATCCTTCAAGAACCTGCCAACAGCACAGTGATCACTGGCCAAAAGAAAACCCCCAAAAACCCAACATGAGTTAATCTTCTAGTTTCTGTTCATAACCTCAGAAATTCTATTTCGAACTGAATATATGCCATTTATGCAGTTTTCCTTCTAGTGAACTGAGTGAATTCCTTCTCTTCCAAAATCTTTGAGCAACATCTTTTAATTTATCATAAACCCCTAGAACTTTAGTCTCTTTGTGTATTTTGTTGTCCTTTTCCCACCAAACCTTTGTTCTTACTCCATTGTGTGTCATTTTTAGAGAATCCTTATCAAGATCCTTTCCTTTTTACACCCAGTTCCATCCTTTTACCTATTCCCAACTTCAGTTGGGATACTTATTCCTTTACTACCATGTTGTGTGTCTTTCAATGCATTGTTTGATTTATTTACTTCAAAGCCCTGCCTGCCAACTCAATGCAATGAAACCCTTGTGGTGCTTTGAAGTAATGATGCTTTTGATTTGACTTTCTAACTGTGGGCACAGTGTAAATGTGACTGTACGAAGACACAAGGAGGAATCCTTTAAGGTGTAAAACACTGACTCCTGCTGTAAACTATTTTCTGATAAAAGCAAACATTTGCTACTTTCAAATTTATGTGTGGTAATCCAATAAAGGATGAAACCACATGGGGCCCCCGGAGTGTCTTATTTTTTACTCAGTTGAGATTGCATTTCCACCCAACTGTTTCTCTGGACCTCTCGGTACAGTTTTTTACCTTGTGCCTTCTCAGCCATTAAGAGTGTGACTGTGAATCAGTAATGACATTATATCCTTTAACCCTCAGCTCCGTGCACACAAACATTCAAACAAACTGAATTTCAACAGGACCCTTCTAATTTGTACATGCTTCAGTGATCTGCCCACTGGAGCACAGGGAGATGTGGAATGTTGTTAGTCATAGTGAAGCTGTGAGACGTTTAAGAGCCTGGTCTTTGCTGACTCTTCTGATTGGACTGCCAAATTTAAAATTGTCTACAAAATACAGCAGTTTCTCACTTGTCTCACTTGAATGCAATCTGCCCAACTACTTTTGATCAAACAATTAAAAAAATCGAAAACATATTTTGTCATTACTGATGAATAAATGTCTTTTTCAATATACATGCAATATGCAAATTATTCCATGTATATTACAGGCTATACAAAATAGCCATTGTATATATATATATATGTATGTACAGTTTGAAGCTTGGGAAACATGCCTATATGTAAGCATGTTTGTCTTGTTTTGACCTTCTTGTTTCACTCAATTTAGTTTGTGAATGTTGATATTTGAATATCTAATGCCAGTTTAATAATACAAATAATGTATTTCACTTATTTCATTAATCTTTTTTCATGGTTTTCCTTTTTATTAAAAGTGAATATATGAAAAAAGTGCATGTATAGTGCAAATATACTAGGGATACATATTTACCTAATTTGCTTGACTATGTGCTCAAACTTTGGAACAGATGTAGAAGCGTGGGGGAAGCGTTTGGGAAGTATTGACACCACACTCAGGCTAAGGTTACAGCTAGCTTGGTTTGCAAGTTTCTGTCCTGCTGCAGCTATAATATCGTAAATGAGGTGGCTGTCAAATCCAGATTAAACCAATGGAAAAATGTGTGTAATTGTGGCATGTTTACTTGTAGTTGCTAGCATAGAAAGCTCTGCTGTGATATTGAAGTAATTCTGGTTTTGTTCTTTAAAGATCTACAGGAAAGCCAATGAAAGTACTTCCTAAAATGTTCCTGTATTACTTCAGCAAACAATTGAAGCTGTTGCCACGCTAAAGCATGACAGTTTTTTTTTAATGTTGGGGGAAAATACAGCATACTTCTCACTTTTGCTAAAATATACATGAAAGAGAATTGTGATACGAGAGTGGAAACAGAAATATTTGGGGAATAATTTCACACCATTATTATGTCACAAAGAAAATTATTTGGAAGTAACTAAAATAACTTATGTTATTGGCATTACGTAGCCAAACAGTTGCACACAAGATTTGTGCTGTATACCAGTGAACCACTTGCACATGGCAGGTAATTGCACCTAAAAGCAAAGAAGGTGGTTACACACAGAAAAGCAATAGTTTAATCCTAAAATGAAAGTGATTGATATATTTCTACAAAAATCTAACACAATGCTTGAATTGCATAATATTGTAAATTTTCGGTAATTTCACTGGATACAGCGGTGTTGCACTGAGAGTACAAAACAAGAGGATACAAAAGGTCAGCTTTTATGACATCCTTACTCATGTAGAACGACATTTTACCCTCGGTTACATTCTGATGTGGTGGTGCATCCACATCAAACACACACTGTATTTTTAAGTGCGACAAGATGTCCTACAAACAACCTTCTGGTTAAATTGCCAATGGACAACTGTGCCTTTTTTGCTAAATGTTAATTTATGCCTCCCATGTTGTGTGTGTGTGTGTGTGTGTACGCATGTCTAGAAGATACTATTAATAGTACATGTGGCTCTGCTTTGTCAGGGCGAAAGAATTGTGAGAGGGGGAGGGGAGAGCTATCCCCTTAGTATCCAGATCTACAGGAGGAAGGTGCTGTGAATTCTAAAAGAAGTCACCTGCCAGTCTTATTAGCCCCTCTTACCCTATTGTTTGCTTTAGCCTTGCTAGTGGTGCTGCAGCAACAGCAAGCAGCAGGATTATGATGCGTCTTCTCTGTGCTCCTCCCCCTGGGGCTCTGTTGTTGCCATGGTTGGCCCGCCCTAAAGCTGGGGGAGGGGCAGTGAAGAGGAGGCTTCCTGCTCACTACTCAAGGCAGAGCAAAAGGGCACCTTGCTTTCAGATGACACGCTGCTCCCTTTATTATCCTTAGGAAGTCGGCTGGTATTGTTTCATAGGCACTGTGGTTGGTAATGTAAACGCTTAGGCCCTCGCAATGTGCAATGGCTCAAATTTTTTAGTCCTTTTAACGACATTTATCCGACACAACTGAGAGTAAATTAAAAAAAAAATGTGATACCTCACCCACAATACTCCTACCATCACCTTTAAATGGTCAACAGAAACCAGAAAGATGTTCGTGTTATTGGAGGCAGCATTAGAAACGTAACAAAGTCTGACAGCTGTTACTGCCACAGAGAAGATTAAGATGAATGATTAGACATGTAGGTGAACTCTGCAGCACAGGTTTGTCGAGGCAGAGCTAAGCTAAATAACACATATCCAGTTGTTTCAGATGAACATCTGTTAACTAATACGTAGGGTCAAATCGTTTCTCTTATTTTCATTAAAGTCATCCTGGTAACAAATTTATAGATGATGAAAAATAAACAAATCTCCAGAAACCTCATTTTCCATATAGGCCCCCAGCTGAAGTTTATTTCAGCTTGTCAGTTAACTCGAAAAATGAATGCTTTTGAGCTAAAGAGAAATCAAGTCATTCAGCGTTCGTCCTGAGTAAAGGCAAATGCAGGCTTTCATTACAGGTTAAAAATGATGCACATCCTGAAATAATAGTACTGGCCTCAAGCACATTTTTTTTAGCTGTGTGAGTAATAGTTATGAAATAGTAATAGTATTTGTTGAAGGGCTTTGTGATGCACCGGATCCCTGTATTTGGATGTTTTTATTGAGTAATTATGGGTAAGACAGCTTAAAAAACCGTCCCTGTGTACTAATTAAAACGTTAACATTACTGTTACTACATATTCCTCTTTATGTTAAGCATTTCTCAGAATAATTAAACTTAAAATCACGTCTGATTAAGGTTTACTTATGCTCCATTAATATAGATTGCTGCAGTTCATTAAACAAATGAAGAAACAAGTATCCCAAAATTCTGCATACTTTCTACATTTCTACCCTGAATACCAGTGACATTCCAATAGAAATATACACTTATTATGACTTTTGTTTATTTGCTGTGTGAACTTCTCTTCATACACTTCCTCCTACACAGAACATTTAAAAACAGCTTACAGCCCACAGCTATCACAGCACGGCAAACGAGGAAGCTTTAAAACTGCTCTTAGCCCTAGTTCAGGGATAAGGTTTGACTGTCTTTGTCTTCCAGAACCAAAGATCAATGCATCTGATCAGACCATCATGTCATTGGGCACCCCGGGCAAACCAGTAACCCTGAAGTGCAACCTCACCACTGCCCACACACCACACAAGGAAAGCTTCTGGATGAAGAATGGACGTGAGATCCCGAATACAAGAACAGAACAGAGGACCACAGAGTACAGGTGACAAAAAGCTTTGAAAGGACATTTTACTCTCAGTTGCTCACAGAAATGGGAAGTTGATGGAAATTTATCAACACTGAATGTAATTACTTTATATAAAAAATGGAACAATTTTGCAAGCAATGATAGTGAAGGGCTGATCTTGGATAGTCATAACTCGCTCAGTGGGCTCTGGATATTTTCTAGCAAATCAGTATCCTGCATAGGAAAAGGATTTATGCCGGTTGTCTTTCAAATGGAAATGAGATAGTCACACACAACTGCATGCGTGGTAACAGGTTTGTTTTTCTGCGTGCCTCACTGATGGAAGGTACTTTTTTGTGAGTGGGAAAGAGGCCACAGACCACGGTGTGACAGGCACTTCCTTGTCAATAATAAACATGTGCTCATTATTCTTTCTTAGTTTAGACAGATGGAAAATGTGGCACCACCAAAACCACCTGCACACAAATTTGCAAGAAAAAGATATGTACACATACTGTCAATTCTTAGGTTTTAGATTTCAGGACATTCATAAAAAAGAACATCTGATTCCCAGCACATCATGAAAGTAAGACAATACAACATTGGATGCACAGCAACACAATAGATATTATATGTCATTGTTTATTTAACAAAAACTAGCCTTTGTCATGGGGGGGGCGTATAGAGGAGGACCCAAAATTCAGACTGTTACAGTACAGGACTGGGAAATTAATTTTAGGTGGTTTGGTTAGAAAAAAGTAGGTTAATACTGAATAACACAAACCAAAAGATAAATTTGAACAGGAAAACCAGGAAGCTAATGGAGGATGTGACAAAAAAGAAGGAAACAAGAGAGCTTATGTACAGAAGAGAGTGATTACTGAATGAAGAGCAGCTGTGACTATTAACACTTAAGTGGAGGGAGAGTAACGGATGACCAGACTGATGACCAGACTGATGACACTGAGCGAGAGTGGCAAGGATTTAGAACACAGAAACTGGGAAAAGGAAGTTACCTTTAATTTGACTTACATTTGACTACCTTATGGTGGACTCAATTGGAGTTCTGTAGCAACAATACAAGCCCAAACGATCACCCACCGACATGCTTCACAGTTGGTGCGAGGTGCCATGCTTTTTTGAGAGTAATGCGACTTTCTTCTGGTAACTCCTCCAAGGAAAACATGAGGAGTTCCCACTTTTTGAGTAATTGGAAATGGTTTTGATTGTTTTTTACTTGTTCATAATCGATCTCCTTTTACTCAAATGAACTCAGAATGTCTGGAAATAGTCTTTAAACTCTCCCTTTATTGTTGCTTCATGAGGATCATTCCTCAGGATCATTCCTGATGTGATTCCTTATTGGAATTGAGTTTAAATCATCAGCGTGCCCCGTAGCAACAAATTACCAAGCTAAGCCTCTGCTTCAGTAGAGGTGCTCTCACTTGCTGATGATTGACTATGCGGGTGCATTTAATTAACACATCATGGTTGTAACATATCCTTTCATGACCTAGGTTCCTATCTTTTTTATTTTCTCCCTATATTTAAAACCCTGAAATCAAATGTATATGTAAGTTTTTACTTGACTGCTGTACCTTGATCTTATGGCATGCAGAGTACAGTAAATGTACAATAAATAAGCCAAATGGAAGGAAAATGGATGAATCTAAATAATTTATAACTTAACCCAATTCATTTTTCAAAGTAATCAGTTACTTTTTATATATACATTAATGTAATTCAGTTTTCTGTCAAATCATTTAAAGCACCATGGTCCCAGTTTGATCGTGATCTATCCATATTGACACTAAAATAAAGAAAAAGTATTACAGTCTAAAGTACTCACCAATTGTTAGTTCCTACCGCCATGCAGTATAATCTTTGGAGAACAAAGCTACTGTCGCCCCCTGGACACACCTCAGACTCAGTCTAGCCAAAAGAGAAGACCAATTGGTCACTTCCTTGTCACTTTACATCAGCGATAGTCTGAACATTAAAGCCAAAATGCTTGTTGTGCCCTTCCCTGCAGACTGCAGTGCTGCTGTTTTGTAAAAAAAAAAAAGAAAGAGAGCTCAATACCATCACTTTGTCTCCCATGGCTTTGTTGGTCCTTCAGGCCTTTTTCTGCTTTAGTCAAAACTAATTACTAGTGTTAAACTGAAATAAGATGACTTAATTTACTTGACTCCTTGCAGCCAAAGTGACTGAGAAATGCGTTTTGTATTTTTGTTACAGAATCATTAAGCCACGAGCGGATGATTCCGGAGAATACATGTGTGTTTACACATTTGACATGGCACCAAATGCAAATGCAACAATTGAAGTAAAAGGTAAGTACACCCGTGACTTCTATTCCTCTGTAGGAACGGCACCAAATCGGATGTTTTATTACTTCCATGTTCTATTCAAATGCATTCATTGTCCACTGCTTACCTTGTACTGACATGAAAATGTCATCTGCAGTTTTCTGCTGAGAGATGGAGAGATAAAAATGTAAGGGGAAAGTTGATCACCTGAAGCTGTGTGATGAGAGACCTTGTTGACAAAGATGTTTAAAGCCATGCAGTGCAGTGGTGATGACAAGAAGCCTTCCTGAGGCTGTTGTCACTCGTGGCCCTCACTGAGATGACAGTCAAGCTACATGGACAGGCGCTGCACATGCTCTCCATAACATAGCACGAGTCCAAGGAGGGCACATCTTTAAAGCAGCTCGTCATAGAAACTGAGAGTGATGGTTTACTGTTTGAAAGATATAGCCTTTTAACATGAATAGAATAATGGTGAAAACAGCGACCGGGATTGTTTATGTAACGGCAAGAAAAGCTAACCTGAGGACTACTGTGTTGGTTTCATGCAAGCTGACAGTGAAGCCATCGACTCGAATAAGGAGTCTTCTTTGAAAAAGGGCAAGTCAGACCCTCTTCAAGAGAAACTTGCCTGTGTGTGGGGCTTAAGCCAATTTGCCGTGCCGCGGCGATGGTGCATACTGAGCATGTCTCTGCCTCGTACTCCGCGGCTGTCTTTAAGCACTGCCTGATTGCGTAACGTGGATGATGACCCTATGCGTTCTGCTTTCACTGGAATGTGAAATCCTGTGGCCATTCAAACTGAAGTGCCTGAGAAATCATTAGGTTGCAGGACTGACTGTTGAGGCTTGCTATCTGTCCACCGAAGCAAAAATCAGGAGCAGAACTGATGATTCATGATTTTTCTCAACGGCAATCATGTTTGAAAAGAAAATCAAAATAACAGCAGTTTGATGCTCGGAGCGGGTGCAATTACAGGATCTGAACGAAATAATTCTCCTCTGTCTTAAATGGCTTTTGTGATTTTCTCGAAGTGTTTGAGATCTTTTGTGACCCAGGTAGCAAGCCCACCGGTAAGCAAGCCAGCTTTGCACTGCGCTTCTGGCAGCAGTTCACTGAGAGCCCTCGCCTACAGTGTCCTTGGCACACTCATCCTTGCAGGACTCGGCTCAGAGGCAACAGATGGAGGGTTCTGTGATGTTGTAGGATTAAGGCTCTGAATCCAGTCCCAGCCATCTCTGTGGCAGGAGAGGAGTTTATTGTCTCTAATACAAAGCTTACTACAGATACATATTTGGTGCCTAATATTTATCAAATCTTAGCAAAGGCTAAGCACAATTCTCTTTGCAAAGGCTTTAACATGCATTCGATAATTGCCCATTTTACACAAGAAAAGGTATTTGACCAAGCTTTTCATCAAATAAAGCCCTGCAGAACTGATTTGATTTAGCAACTTTTTAACATCAGATGTGATCTTAATCAATTTATCCCCCCCCCTTGCTGACAGCCATGACCTTGCTCCCCCTCACAAATCCATCTCCCAATCATATGTCACTTTGCCACCGTCTAGCACACAGAGATTAATAATCAGAGTCAGGAGTGTGAAATGGAAGTTTCTGCCTGTTTTAGCACCACTCCTCGGGCTCTCTGCGAGCTGCCACTCAAACGTGTAATACAGTCAGGATAAGGCACAAACCAGCTCGGACACTCCCCTGGTCAGGGAGACCATGTGCACCATAATTAGAGAGGAATGATGTCACAGAAAAGCTCAGACCCCTCCTCCTCTGTTATCCCTGTGCTGCAGAAAAATGCTCACTCCAGGCCCTTCCCTTATCCTTCTCAATTGCATGAAAGGAATTATTGTAATGCTGAGGATTAGTGAAAAGGCAGGAATAGTTTTCTTTATAGCACTGCTCAGAGTTGAATGGAAATTTTGAGCCTTGTTTTTGTGAGACTATTTTGTTGAGATATCATTGAGTGGGTGTTGTTTCCAGGTGAATTAATGATTTTATTGATTCTACAACCTCTGCTGCATTTTAATCAGAACCTGTTTACAATGTTATTCTTTTGCTCAAAATGTCTTTGAAAGAATTCACTGTGGATTTATTCTGAAAGGGAACAGCTGGAGGCCCTTCCTCTATACTGATCCCCCATCCAGTGATATTCCCCATGAGTTGGGCCTACAGTACATGAAATAAAATGTCAAATCAAAATCATGCCTTGTATATTAATTCAACATCTGTGTGGTGAAATTTCAGTTGTGTTTTAACTTTGACATAAGATAAACTGTGTACGCTGCACTGAATTTTACAGCCTAAGAACAGTTTGTTCTACAATGCAACAGAAATGTAAATGTTCTTTTAATTTTGCTTTCTTATGTTTGCTACATTAATTAACTTGACTTACTTGAATATGAAGGAAATTCTTATATTGTGTGCTCTTTAACCAGTTTCACTGCTAGCACAAAATTATATAAATAAATACACACTAGAAATAATTGAAGGGAGGCATGTCTGCTCTCTCTTAGATGACCCTGTTTTGAAGGGACTGATGCTAATAGTATATTTGCATCCCTGCTGACTATAATATTTTAGCCATTGTTATTCTTGTTATCATACTTTCCTCATTTTTACAAAAACAGGCAGACCAGTTAAACTCAAGCAACAATGTTGCTTGAGGAAATGCTCACAAATAAGGGGGTCATTTATGTCATGAGCTTTCACATTCAACAGTCTGGATGGTCTTTTTCATATTAGGCCTGTAAACTCTTCTTAAAAGGAGCCTGGAACTCATGAGAGAGCAAACGCCACCATCTGTCTCATAGTTGAAATATGGCTTCCTCCATGCAAAATAAAGTCTCTGGTAACATTTGTATGCAGAAGCAGACTGTTGCATGAAAATGGTTTTCCAGGGTAATCCCAGACCCATGTGGCTACATAGATCATGGTGGCATTGCATTCTGAATGCAGTGTGGCCTCACGGCTAGAAAGTGACATGAATGCAGCCATGGTTTCTTTTCATGATCTTTGGTAACTCAGATTTCCCCCGACTCCCTTAATATTTTCACAGTAGTGTACACCACTAATGTTGAAAGGCCTCTTATTAAGTGGGGCAAAGAGTGTGAGAATGTAAATCATAAACAGTGCGGATGGGAGTGTTTAGTTCTGCATATGAGATTCCAAAATTATGTATGCTTTGTAAACACAGTCACAATTAGCGCACTTGAACAATGAACAAAGCGACTGACCAGATGCACTATTTACAATGATGGTGTAACACTTACTGAGTGACCAGTTATTTGTCCCTTGAAACGGTTAAATCATCTGTGAAGCAGGAAACACAAATCTTAGTAAGTGAGTCCTGAGAAGGAAAACCAATACAAAAAACACACATGCAATCAGAGGCCCAGACCAATGTGTCAAATGCCTTTCCAGTAACTCAGCAATCTGCCTTGTTAGTAAACAATGTGAAAAAAGTGCTAAATGCAAATCAGTTATAAATGTCGCCCTGATAAGATAAAACTATTTTGCATTAGAAACTGATGAATGATGAAATTTGACACAGAGTTTAGAGCCACAGTTCATCCTAGCTTGCTAAGGCTTTGGTGAATGTTGCTTTTTGTAGTAGCACCTTAACTTTGAACTAATGTGCTTGCTGATAACTTTTCCTACCCAGTGTTTTGTGCTGTACAACATTTTGGGTCTTTAATTCCTTCTCTCGTATGCTTTTAAAATGGTGGTTACATCAAAAGAGAGATGTGTTTAAATGTTCTTACAACATTACTTCCTTTCAATTAATGACTGTTAAATAATATTTCTGGCATTCTAATTCCAGATTTATTTGGATATTTGGAAAAGTCCAGTATTTCTAGACTCTGTGAGATTCGTCAGAAAATAACATCACAGGGTATCACGGCCGTGGACGCAGGAGGACTCAGGCGCAGAGTGGGTTCAA